GTGTCCGATCGGCACCGTGTGCAATCGACACCGTGTCCGATCGGGAAATATTGTCGTGTCCGATTTGTAATGTGCGCAATCGGGACAATCCCGTGTCTTCGATGTACAAGATATATGCAGCAATACTAGCAGAAAAAATAAGGAAAGAAGTAGAGGCGAAGAACTTGATTCCCGAACATCAAGCAGGATTTAGAAAAGGAATGAGGACGATGGACCAAATATTTGCACTGAACTACTTGGTAAATAGACAACTGGGAAAGGAGAAAGGAAAGATGACAGTAATATACATAGATTTGAAAGCGGCGTTCGACTCAGTGGACAAAGAAGTATTAATTAGGACGATGAGAGAGAGAGGTGTAAGGCAGGGACTAGTAGATAGGGTAAAGGAGGTATTGAGAGAAACGAAGAGTAGGGTAAGAATGGGAAAAGAGAGTGGAGGAACATTCTGGATGGCAAAGGGCGTGAGACAAGGGTGCCCGTTAAGTCCGATAATCTTCAATCTATTAATCGCGGATTTGGAAGACTATATGAAGAAGGGAGGATGGGGAGGTGTGAAACTGAGAGGGGAGAAGATATACACATTAATGTATGCGGATGATGTAGCGTTGATGGCGGAGGAGGAACAGGACATGAGATCGATGATAAGCAGGCTAGAGGGATACCTGGACAGGAAGGGATTAACATTGAGCATAGAGAAAACAAAAGTAATGAGATTCAGAAAGGGTGGAGGAAGGAAGAAAAAGTATGACTGGAGATGGAAAGGAAAAAAATTAGAGAAAGTTAAGGAATTCAAATACGTTGGATATATTAGGTTGGCCAATAAGTCTGTGCGGTTTTTATAAGTATATATTTATACTTATAAAAACCGCACGGACTTATTGGCCAACCTAATACATTAAAGGAAAATGGGAGACAAAAGGCGCACATTAGGGAAAGAAGAAGAAAGGCGGCAAGAGTAATGAGGGAAGTCTGGGGGATAGGGGAAAAATGTGGAAAAAGAATTGGAAAAGAAGGATCTGGTTATACGACACCTTGATATGGACAGTGATGGGATACGGAGCGGAAATATGAGGATGAAAAGAAAGGAAGGAGGTAGAAGGTATACAGGAGAGATACCTCAGATGAGTATTTAAATTAAATTGGAGGACACCAGGGTATATGGTAAGAGATGAAGTGGAGAGAGAGAAGATGAGAGGCAGAGCAAGTAAGAGAGCATGGAAATTAAAAAAAAAACTGGAAGAAGGCAAAAGAGAAAGAATAGCGAGGAAATGCCTGGAAGAAATAAAAGAGAGACGGAAAAAAAGGAAGATAATAGGAAGGTGAGAGCAGGAGAGAAAGAGTTACCTAGAAGAGATTAGGGTGGGAGCTGAAGAAGAAGAGGAATTGAAAGGTGAAACTTTGGAGAATAAAGAGAAATTGAAACAAAAACAAGGATAGAAAAGATCATATGCTCGAAATACAACCGGTGGTATAAGATTATAAGGAAGGACGGGATCCCGGAATACTCGGAGAGAGACTGAGAGAAAGCAAGGTGGAGTAGGATTGCAAGGTTTAGACTCGGTAATGAAGTTAGAGAAAGTCTATATTGGGAAAGAAAGGAGAACAGAAGATGTAGGATGTGTGGGAAGGAAGAGGAAACATGGGAACACATATGGGACGAGTGTACGAGATGGGAGAAGTGGGACGGAGAAGGGTGGCAGAACGTGGTGGGGGATTACTGGGAGAAAAAAGAGAGGGAGAGAAGTGAATGAAAGCAATAGAGAAAATAAAACAAGATGGAGGAAGGAGAATGGGAAAAGAAAAGGGATGACAGTGAAGAGAGTAGGGGTAAATCGGAGAGAAAGAGAGGAGAAAAAAAAGAGAAAAGAAAGGAGAGGGGAGAAAGGCAGAAGGCCAAAGAGGACCGCGGAGGACGAGATAACGAGAAGGTTGAAGGAGAGTCTGTTAATGGATGCGGATGAAGACGAAGACGATAGGAAAAAGCTGAAGAAGGGAGAGTAAGAGAAATGTATGATAGAAGGGAGAGAGGAAGGGTGATAGAGAGAGAAGCGTTAAGGAAGAGAGAGGGAAGAGGGAAAAGGAAATAAGATAGAAGGATTAATACAGTTATTTTTCAGAGTGCGGAATTGAGGAAAGCTGAAGAAAATAGACAGAAGGGTGCCGGATGGAAAACGAAGGGAAGGAAAATGAGGTCGCTATGGCCAGGACAGGATAGGAAGCACGAGCTATGTACAGGGTTAGGTACGTCCCTTCAAAATGCCAATGTTCGTATGTTTTCGCAAATTTTAAGATTTTGTCTAGTGTGAAACTGTACAGGGTTGGGTACGTCCCTAAGGTAAAAAAACGCCCTTTAAGACCCCTTTGGGGTAAATAAAGTAACCATTATCTATCTATCTATTAAAGACATTGTCCGACTGATCAACAAGGATTGCAAAATACTTCTATACGCGGATGACATAGTTGTATATTCCACCAATAAAAACCTATCCAGGGCCATTCTAACCATTAATGAATCTATATAAAAAATCACGGATTTGTTTAAAAAACAAAGGCCTCTTCCTCTCCGCTAATAAATCACAGGCAATGATTTTCACACGTAAGCAAAAAATGCCTTTTTTGTGCCGGACCTAACCATCAATGGCATATCGTTACAATACAGCGAAATGGTGAAATTTTTGGGCATCATGATCGAATCCAACTGAGCGGTAAACCTTACTTCAATTACGTTATCAGCAGGTGTAGAAGAGCTCTCAGCGTTTTGAAGGCCCTGGCAGGAATATCCACCATATGGTGGGTCGCACACCCACAGCAATTAATGACAATCTACAGAGGCATTATTCGCAGCAATATTGACTACAGATGCCAAGTCTTCCAACTTTGCGGCAACCTTAGCACTTTTGAGCAGCTGCAGCGTATTCAGTACAAGGCCATTCAAACGGCGTATGGCTATAGCCTACCCCCATTCTTATTAGACGAAGCCAAAGAACCCTCATTACAGTTCAGATTCAAGTACCTCACCTCCAAATTAGTCATCAAGAACATCAGCCAAGAATTCAGCCCGGTTACCACCAGTCTGGACGATCTAATTACAGCCACCAGACATCCCATTCGCCATGAAAAAGCCTGTAAATACATGCCCCTTTATAAACATTACCAATCCATTTTAAGCAAAACCGAAAAAATCTATTGCTCCACTTTCCTCCCTGTTTTCAACCATAGCTTTAACTCATTAATCCATATTATTCACTACACACCTATCCATTTTCACTCTGACATCCAAAACGTTAATTCTATTTTCCTTGAAAGCACTCAGGACCTGAGGAGAAATGCTGTCTCGTTTTACACTGACGGTTCCAAAGACGAGTCAGGCTTTGTGGGCGCCGGCGTATACTCTCCAGACTTGGACTTTCAACTGAGGCATAAATTGCCAACCGAAGTTACCATCTTTTCGGCTGAGGCTTGGGCCATCCTCCAAGCACTTATAGTTATCTGGCAAATGGACCTTGAAAAAGCTGTAATATTCTCAGACTTCAAAAGCGTCTTGGAAAACATATGCTCGAACGCAGCCAACCAGCAAAATTACATCATACCTCGAATTAAAGATCAGCTTTTTTTCCAAAAATATAAACCTCTAGTTGGCCTGGATTTCTTCCCATCGAGGCATCACGGGGAATGAAATCGCAGACAAGACAGCCAAAGAAGCCTCTAGAAGGGGTAAAGTTTTTGACTTCAGAATACCGCACAGTGATTACTACTCGATTTTTAAATGCAAATTACGTGCGCAAACTAGCGAGTACCTCCGATGCCGCGGTTCTTAAAAAAGGCGTCTATTTTTATAATTACTTTCATTCGGGATAAGATCGCCCATGGTTTTATAAAAAGCCATTTAAAAAAAAGGAAATAGTCTTAGCCAACAGATTGTGTAGCGGGCACTATAATTTGAATCATTGCCTAGCCAGGAAAAACATTATAGACTCGGGAGCTTGCCCTTGTGGCTACCCCATTTAAGACATCAACCATGTAGTTTTTGACTGCAAATTATTTTCCGAGAAAACCTCTTATTTACTTAAATATATTAAAAAAACTTTTCCTCACCCTCCCAAAGACATTCTTTTTCACTTGAGTAACCCTTCTCATCAATTCATTCGCCTTCTTGCAACTTGCAAATCCATGGACCTTCAACTTTAGTTTCCCTCTCTGGCGGGAACGAGAACCGGCAGCGCTAATCAAATACCATTCCCGGCCGCGGCGCGCCACGGTGCTCACGTCGACCATCACTCGACGCACCATCTAGTATCGACGCCTACTACGGCCTACAACAGTTGCAAGACACGCCGTTGCGGCTCACATGACGGGATTCGAACGTGGACTGTTCGAGTGAGCGGACGTGTCATCATCTCTGCGTGTTCGAGCGTTTTGCGTGCTTGTCGGATCAAACTAGTTTTCGGTTAAGTCGCGTGAATCATTTTATCCACCGTCAGATCGCGTAATTATAATTATATACGAGCTATAAGCCCCCTTGATAGCTCTACGACATAATTTATTACCGTGAAGTGTGGTTATCTCAGCCCGGTCAGGCAACCTCTTTCTCTGGATAGTGGTGTTGCGGAAATAATGCGAGGGGCTTCGGCCTCTCGCACTGGTGTAAAAGGGGGGGAGCATCCTGGGATTCCTCCCCATCCTGATAATAGTCGTGCAACATCCGTTCACATTTCAGCCCCATTAACACAATACGAAAGTTTTGTGTCTCAACATGCGAGCGAAAATTCAATCCCGCACAGAATAACTCCACACTCTCGCGTGTCTGTGTCGGACATTCTCAAAATCAGCGATAAATATCTAAATAACAAAAAAGAGAGTCCGCGAGACAATCCCCTCCCAATGGACGAGGACGAGAGTGACGAATATATGGACACGATGCCGGCGAACGGCAAGGATATGTCCTTGACGCCTGCTGTAAACGATTCAAATAACACCACCCTCCCCCCATAGTAGGCAACGATCGAAAGAAGACTTCGCCATCCTCGGACTCGGATGTGCCCAACAACTCAGGTAACACCCCCAAAATTAGCAAAAAAGAGTCGAACAATCGCGCGCCGCAGGAAGGCGCACTCGCTCTATTGCCCAGTGAGTCGACATTTAAATATTCCCACACGGATAAATCGCCATTTTCGGTATTTGTCCAATCCACCAAGAAGGAGGCGACCCCTCCCTACACTCCCTTAATGTCAGCAGGCTAATTGCACAATTTGCGTACAAAGATGTAATCGAAGTCCGTAAAACCGGCCGACGTAGAGTCACGATAGACTTTCGTTGTCGCGTAGCTGTAAATAATTTAGTTAATAATCCTATACTAAAGGCACATAACATTAAAGCCTATATCCCGTCATTTAAAGTACAAAGAATAGGCATAATCAAAGACGTGCCCAAGGAATTTGCAACGGATTCGTTGGCAGAATACATTGAGTCACCCGTTAAGATACAAAGCATCGATCGGTTAAATCGTCGCGTCAAAGTAGGCGAAAAATTTCAGTTTCTTCCATCTCGCACGCTAAGAATCAAGTTCGCGGGTCAAGCTCTCCCGAACTCGGTTAGCTTGTTTAAGGTTAAATATAAGGTATATCCATTTATACCTAAAACACGTATATGTTACTCATGCTTTAGAGCTGGTCACATCGGTAGCCAATGCAAATGAAGTCCCCGATGCTTATTCTATGGCAAAGATAAGCATGACAAGGATGAAGAGTGCCCCCACAAGGACAACCCACCCAAACTGTGGCGGCAATCACCGAGCCACATCGGTGGACTGCCCAATAATTCTACAACATAAGCAAATCAACGCTTTGGCCGCTACGAAAAATGTATCATATATTGAGGCTAGAAGAAAGGTTAAAGGCAATAAACTGTCCGATGATCCAAGGTTTGACTTTGTCAATTTTCCGAGTACAAGTACTTGAAACACAATGGCAAGTTTCTCTATCGGTAGTAATAATATGCCGCCGCTTCAGAATAGGTTTGGTCTTTTATCTAAAGATGTAGCCACATATTCAGATCATGATTGCACAGAAAACCCTATTTACGCTAATATAGCGGCTAGACCCTCTCATCCGCGCACATCTCCTCCGAGAGGTGCCATCACTAAATCGACTAGCGCACGTAACGACTTCAATCGTATCCTATCTACAATTCTCAGCTCAGCATTACGAAGCGCTGTTTTATCCCAACGGCAGAATATCGAACGGCTCAACTCCCTCTCCCACTCTGGCTTCTACTCCGAAATCATCAGACACGGATGCTGATGACAGAGCTCCTTCTACATCTACGACCAATAGAGACTATGCACCCAACTTTTCATTTATAATACACCCTCTCCTACAAGAAGTCGAAGAATTTCTTAAGAACCAACTAGCTAACCTTTTCCACTTTTTCAGCCTTCAAGAACCTGTCAATCAACAATCGACTCAGCATACCACTCCTAATCTTAGCGGTGACATCTGTCACGTTCCCGTCGCAAGGGCATAACTCCTCACTGGTAAAAATCAAAATCCTGCAATGGAATTTTAGAGGAATACAAAGTAAACTGCCAGACCTGCAACTATTGGCAGAAAAATATAATATCTTCTGTATACAAGAAACTCTCCTTTCGGAGGTGAGTAGAATAAGCGTTAGAGGCTTCTATGCTCTAAGGTATGATATTGTGAACCCGGGACTATGCGGCATTTGCTTCCTTCTAAGATCAAATATCAAAGCAACCTCTGTACAGCTACCCTTTATACTACATCATTCTATTAAGGCGGCTGCCATTACTCTATTGTTCCAAGACAGCGAGTTACTCGTGCTCAATGTTTACAGACACTCCAACAACGACACCCCAGCACACGCACTTAATGATATATTTAACTTTGCATCCGGTTACAAATATGCACTCATAGTGGGAGATCTAAATGCGCATCACCGCCTTTGTGGCTGTGCACGCAATGACAACATTGGCAACCGACTGGCATCTCGCATCGAGTCGCACAACTATCTCATACTCAACGACTTTACAAGTACGCGCTTTAATCCAAATACCAACAGCGGCTCCATCATCGACCTCGCCCTCGCGTCTTTGGACCTTGCTGGCGTCTGCTGTTTGCGCACTCTGGACGATCCCATGGCCAACGATCATTATCCAATCGAAACTATTATCAACGGAACAGCGGCCAAAGTCAAGCGTTTTGCATATAAACTAAAACTAAGCGACATTCAACTCTGCGAACTCAGCATCAAATTGGAGAAAAGTCAGGAATCTTCCATCATAAGGAATCTTCCGATAACGAACTGGAGGACTATGAGAACGTGGTAGACTACATAAAAAAAACGGCTACAGAAATACTTCGTGAGCAAGGTAAAGACGGCAAAGTTGGTTCCAGAAACGTCGCTTATAAGGGTACTTCTGCCCCATGGTGGAACACGAAGTGCACTGAGACAGTTAAAGAACGCAAAACGGCTTTGGAGGTTTTTAAGCGGGATCCTTCCAGAGATACCTATCTAGCGCTTAAACGTCAAAATAGAGAATGCAGGCGTATCCTTTCCAAGCAGAAAAGGAATGGATGGCGCTTCTTCTGCACGAACTTTAGCTCTAAAACTGCTACCTCAGAAATATGGCAACTGGTTAGAGCCTTCAAAAACAAAGACAAATGCGCCTTTACGGACCACAAAATCCTCGAGTCCTCGCAACAGGCAGCGGTCAACAAATTATGCCCACCTTCCTGCTCTCCACCACTAGCTCCTTCACTGCGTGACATGCAAAGGGAAGATGAAACTTTGCCAAACATACAGTTATGGATGGATCAAATTTTCTCCATGAACAAGCTCAAATCGGCTCTGGCATCTACTAAGGCGTCTTCATCCCCGGGTTTGGATCAGGTAAACTACGCAATTATAAAAGCTCTTCCTGAAAGCTTCAAAGCTCACTTATTGGACATCTTCAACAAAATTATTGCAAAGGGCACTTTCCTGGACAGTTGGAGGAAATCGCTAGTAGTATTAATTCCCAAACCGAACTCGAATGGCGTTCGCCCAATCTTATTGTTGTCCTGCTTACTTAAAACACTGGAAAAATGTGTTTATAATAGACTACGTTGGCATCTCAAAGCCAATGATATATTTTCAGAATCTCAATTTGGCTTCCGCAGCTTTAGATCGTGTGCGACAGCCTGGAAATACTTTCAAATGTCATCCATCTTGGACTTATTAATGGCAAATTCACCGTTTGTGTGTTACTGGACATCGCGGGAGCATTCGACAACGTTAGGCCGGAAATATTGGAAGAGGACCTCAAGGAAGCTGGCGTTTCGGCGGGCATACGCTGCTTTATAAGTAACTTGCTGCGTAACAAGAAAATCTTTTTCTCTCGTGAAGGCAATATACAGGGCCCTTGTAACACCCACCAGGGTGCCCCACAGGGATCCATACTTAGTCCTCCGCTCTTTGGCCTCTATGTCAAAAACTCTAAACGGCAGCTAAGTCCAGGAGTGTACTCCCTGGAATATGCAGATGACATAGTTGTTTATACCACCCACAAGTCTATTGAAGAAGCGTATCGGCTGATAGAGGCCTCCTTAGAGGCACTGAATCGCTATCTGCGCGCTAAAGGCCTTGATCTGGCCCCCGCCAAGTCGCGCTGTATGGTGTTTACGCGAAAAAGAGTATATCGTCTTCCTAAACCCAATATAATGATAGATGGCATCGCCGTACCAATGGCAAGCGAACATAGGTTCCTAGGTGTTATCATAGACAATAAGATGAGCGGAAAGGCTCATATAAAGTATCTACTTAACGAGGGTAAAAGAATTTCTGGAATACTAACGGTTTTAGCGGGCATCAAATGGAGGGGCCACCCGCAACTATTACTTTCGCTGTATCGCGCAGTCTTTAGAGGCGCCATAGAATATGGCTGTATCGTCTTTAAATATATAGGCAATAAGCAGCTCTTCCTTGCCATCCAACGCCTACAATGGAAGCTACTAAGATGTGCTATGGGCTACCGCATGTCTACGCCTATAAATGTGATCCTAGATGAGACTAAAGAGCCTCCACTATGTTATCGTTTCGCATACCTTATTCATAATTATTTGGTCAAAAGCTTCTCTTGCAGCTTTAACCCAGTTATAGCAAGCCTGGAAAACGTACAGTTCAGCACAATCGGCGCTGTTAAGAGAGCCAAAGCATACCGTATGATCCCACTTTTTAGATCTTTCCTTGCAGTTAAAAACATACGAGGAGTTATGCATCGCTCAGTTGCACTTCCCTATTTTACTTATCCTTTTTTTTTCACTCATTAATCAACCTAAATTATTACAGTTCTCTCACCCGAGCATTGACTCTATCTCCGCGCACGAAGCAAACGCATTTTAAAGAATAATTTGCGGAATACACGCTTGGATCAACCACTTTCTACACTGACGGTTCTAAGATTGACTCTTCAAGAGCGGTAGGCGCCAGTGTTTACTCACCAGACTTACCTATTGAAATCCGTTGCAGGCTCCCTCCCGATGCTTCCACCTTTTCGGCGGAGGCCTGGGCAATTTATGAAGCTCTCTTTGTCATTTATCAACTCCAACTCCAAATTCAGCTATCATATTTTCTGATTGTAAAAGCATTCTACAGACAATCACTTCGCACAACATCACACATAATAATTACATTATTACACTCATTCGCAATATGTACAGCAGAGCAGTCGCTGCGGGTTCTAGGATAGTGGTAGCGTAGATCCCGTCACACAAGGGAATCATAGGTAACGAGAGAGCGGACTCTCTGGCTAAGAAGGCCATCACAACAGGCAGAAAATCCAACTTCAAGGTACCATACACGGATCTTTATCACAGATCTAAAACCATTATAAATAACAAGTACAGAGCTTATTTGGAAAACGCGGCTTACACTAAAGGAAGCTTTCACTACTCCCACTATCATAATGATAATGTCAAGCCTTGGTACTATCGGTTAATGCTCAGTAGAGCACAAATAGTAACTATTAACCGCCTTCGCAGTGGTCATTACAACCTGAACCTTAGTCTGTATCGTAAAAATATTGTCGATTCATCAGGTTGTCCTTGTGGGGATCAAGATAGGATAGGGATCAAGATGCAAATCATATAATCTTCAGATGAGAATTAATTCGGGTCAAACCCCCCCCCTGTATAGGTATCTCCGGGAAAGTTTCCAACCCATTCTATGGACATATTCCCCCTTATCAAGAACCCGACTCCTAAGTTATGTCGCTTGCTTCTTTCTTATTTTAATTCCTGTGAACTCTACATTTAAATTTCCAGCCTTGCCCACTCACCCCCCCCCTCAAAGAGCAATCATGGCTTACGCCATCTGCTGGGTATATACTTCGTCGAATTGAATAATGGCCGACACTATCCGTGAAGGAATCGTGGGCCATAAATCAGAAGAAGAAGAAGAAGAAGAAGAAGAAGAAGAAGAAGAAGAAGAAG